AGGTTTCGGATATTTCACGGTTCCCCACATTGGTGAGTGAGCAGGAGAGTTGGGAATGTCAAAAAACCATTAACTTGATTTGGATTCGTATAGTTTGGAAGGTTTTAAAAGTGTTAAATGGAGCACTCAGAGGACTGTCGAAATGTGAACTATGAGGGAGCACTGTAATTGAGGGTGTCATCTACAAAGAGGTAACCGTTGAAAGTGTGAAAAGAATGAAATTGCCAAGGGAAGAGTGAAGAAACAGGGAAGGGCAAGGGCAGGACCTTGGGTCTTGGGGGAGGGAAAAGGAAGCTGTAAAGAAAGACATGAGCCCCGAGGGCAGGAGGCAAGCATCGTGGAAACCAAGCAGGAGAAAAATCCCACCAAGGGTGGTGTGACCTTTCAAAAGGGAGCAGGTTAACAGCAGGAGACCACCGATGGCCTTCCAGGGGGGGCTCCAGAGAGTGGGGGTTAGTAGAGACACATTAAGAGGTTCAAGGATGTGTGAGTTGTGAAGAAGAAAGCACAGAGTGTGTCTTGGGTGTTTCAAGTGAAAGGAGAATGTAGAGTTGGTTGCGGTAGCAGAGTTGAGTGGGGTTCTTCTTGGGTTGGATGACCCTGGAGGGAAAGCCAGTGGAGGGGGGGCTGAATGGCCATTTGGGTTAGGTTCCCCAGGCAGGAGGGAGAGGAGAAATGAAGGGCACATGAGGAGGGGTTTGGCTTGGCAAGAAAGAGAAGGGCAAGGAAGGGAGCTTGCTAACAGCTCCCTGAGATCAAGGAGAGACTGGGGAACGTGGGGTAGAGTTTGAAAGAAGCCTCTCAGGGAGCAGCCTGAGGCAAGGGATATGAATGCACTGGGCGTCACCGCAGAACGTTGTGATTTTTATCAGCAGCAGGGAAGCAAAATGAAGAAAGTGGTCTGCATTGGCCGTTCCAAGTTGGGGACTCACCCAAGTCTATTGAGGGTCCAGGGAGTCTGTTTCTCAAGATGGCTGGTGAGCTGTGATCAGCATGTAGGTGTGTGCATCGTGCCTGTGCAGGAGGCCCTTGGCGCTGTGAGCACTGGTGCACGGGCTGGCATTCCTAATTAATGGGAGGACATTGCCCACCCACCACACTGCACCAGTGCGCGGACACCCGAGGGCTGTCTCTCATTTGCACACAGGTGGCTCTGTATGTGCAGGTAGGAGACTGGTGGACTAGGCTGAGAGCCTGGGGGAGATCTGAGGGGTTGGATTTCAGAGAGAGGGTGAAAGGCTGGTCCATTAGGGATGTGAAAGTGGTGGGAGGTAAGGCTCTGTGGTCAGAGAAGGGAAGTTCTGTTATTAAAATCATGGAAGTGAAACCATTTTGAACGATTCAGTCCCAGGTGAGGCCATGGTGGTGAGTGACAGACAAGTATCCTTGTCAAACTGAAATAACAGCTTAAATAACAGATTAGACTGCCTGGGATAACGAGGGACTGACAGGAGATGGTGGGTGACTCAGGCTACAGTGGAACTTCCTGGTATTGGCAACCGCAATTCAGCACATTCAGCAAATGTCTTGATTCAAACTTTGTGCTTCTAGATGCTTGGGACATAGCTGTGAACAAAGCAGGCGGCGATCCCGGGCTTCCTCGCATGCCTTTAGCTATTACATGGGTAGTGACCAAAAATGTCACTGTGTGCCCAGAGGTGACCTGACCAGAAATACAGGTTTTATAACAGGGTTTTACTGTGTTTGGCTCACCGATACCCACTCAGAACTGACCACACCCCGTCTCCCTGAGCGCCAAAAGCAGCACAATGACTCCTCCAGCTCTGCCTTCATGAACCCAGTAACCTAAAAGTGAAATTACAGAGGGTATGGTAAATGCTTAAAAAAAAAAAAAAAGAAGGCAGTGTTGGCCATCATTGTTCTGGAAGCACAAGGTAGGAACAGAATGGACTGACCCCATTGAAATGGAGCGGGCTGGGGAGGAGGACGGGGAGCCCTGGAGAGCAAAGGCCGGGCTCCAGGGTCACATGGGCCCCAAGGTCTGAGAAGGGGAGGCAAGGGGAGGTGCAGACTAAAACTCTTGTTGGCCCAGGTTCCGGTGACTTTTGTCGACATTGCTGTGTACTTCTCTGAGGACGAGTGGAAGAACTTGGATGGATGGCAGAAGGAGCTTTACAACAACCTTGTGAAGGAGAACTACAAAACCCTCATGTCCCTGGGTGAGCACCCCTCCCGCCTGCGTGGCCGCGGTCCTGCAGAGGGGCGTGGTGTGCTTTCAGCCCACGTTCACACTACCTGGCCAGGCTGTTTCCTGCTATTGGAAACTTAAGACACAATTTGCTTATAATGCACAGGAGATAGAATGGTTCCTAATCGGATGAGAATGAAAAATCCAGGAACAGGGCCGATCATAGGATCGAATGCCACCACTCTTTTGGAATACGGTCGGAAGCGCTACATGCCAGCAGCCTTGATAAGCCACAGTTGGCCTGCTGCTGGCTTTCTGAGACCAGCTATTTCCACACCAGAAATTGGGGTACCTATGGACTCGTTTTCAGGTTCCTCCTAAGAGAATGATTACCTGACGTGCTCACATAACGGCTACCACCAAGAGGGGCACTCAGCAGGGGGGAGGGGAGAGTTCTGCCAACGCCCTGGATCATAACCCCTTGCTCAGCTTCACTCAGTCCTTCCTTCCTTCCAACTCATTCCAGACGCAGAGGGTCCTGGGCCCAAGCCAGAGGCCCCATCCCAGGCTGAGCCCAGGGAAGAGCCTTGCGTGTGGGAGCAGCGTAACCCAGAAGAGAGAGAAATCCTGATGGATCCTGACACAGGTGATGGCAGCTAAAAAAGAAACCCAGGTCCAGGATAGGGCAGGAGAAAAGCCCCGCCCCCCGCCCCTCTCCCCACCTCAGTTCAACAGGGGCTTCTTTTTTTAAATTGATTTTTAGAGAGAGGGGGAGAAAGAGAGAAACATCAATGAGAGAGAAGCACATCAATTGGCTGCCTCCTGCACACCCCCTACTGGGGATCGAGCCCACAACCCAGGCACGTGCCCTGACCAGGAATGAGCTGGTGATCTCTGGATGCATGGGTCCACGCTCAGCCACTGAACCAAACCGGCCGGGCAGCAGGGGCTTCTTTTGAGTAGTTTGAGGGGCCGGTTCTGCCACCGTTGAAATTCGTGGCCACTTACAGGAAGAGATTTCAGGGCCTGAAAGCCCACCAGGGTGCTGGGTAGAGCCGTGCAGCTCTGGACGCCCAGGCAAGCTGGGGAGAGAGAAGGGGACCAGGCAGGCTTGCGGCATCCCAGGCCTGACCGTGACCTGCAGTGAGAGGCCTGAGACCTGGGGGCGGCCCCATGGGAGGGCGGAAAGGGCGTGTGCATGGATGTGCAGTTTTGCTGGGGGCCTGCTGCTTCTTGCCCATGTGTCATCTCCAGTATCGGCATCCATTCTCACACAGACCCCACATCACAGGCAGACTTCTTACCCCTAAGGCTGTTTCCTCACTCAAGAAGGAAACCCAGCTCCTGCAGCATCACCCCTGGTCAGCTTTCACCTGGGGTGGGAGGTGCTAGGCTTCCCGCCCCACTGTGCCCTCCAGGTCCCTTCTCGGGGCTGCAGCTCTCCTAAGCCGTGTTGGACCAGGTGAAATCTGTGCTCTAACTGTGTTCTCTGCCTTAGCACATAACTCACCTGTCCGTGCCTGTGTTTGGCATTTTTGCTATAAGCATCTTTGCTGCAAGCATTTTTGCCACGTATGTTTTGCCACACAATTGGCCACAGGCAATTTCACCACAAAAGATCAAATAACCGGCTGACATTTTGGTTTATGTTTGACAGACTTCACGTATTTAAGCTGATTGTCAGTTTGGTTTCATCTGCATTGACAAGGTTCTCACAGTGTTCGTGTTATTAAATCTTTTTTTGGGGGGGGGGCGGGCGGGGGAGAGGAAGAGAAAGAAATATTCATTTACATTTCACTTATTTACACATTCATTGATTGATTCTTGTATGTGCCCTGACTGGGGATTGAACCCGCAACCTTGGTGGGTCAGGGTGATGCGCTAACCAACTGAACTACCCTAGGCCAGGGCCTCTTCATTTATTTTTTTCTACATTTTTTGCCTTCTTTTGGGTTAACTGATCAATTTTTATGATTCCATTGAATTATTATTTATATATATTTAAAATTTTTCAGTGTTTACCACAGTTTTTCCTTCTTCTTAAAGCATTTTTTATTTTCAATTATAGTTAACATACAATATTATATTAGTTTCACGTGTACACCTCAGTAATTAGACATCATGTAACTTACTAAGTGATCATGCCGATAAACCTCGTACCCACATGACACCATATATAATTATTAGAATTTTATTTTTTTAATCCTCACTCAAGGATATTTT